GGGGTACTTCAGCTGATTTTCAAAATAAACCACAGAAATAAAGGTTCTGATAATGCAGGACAAAAAAAATGACATCAATCATAGGGCTAATGTGACCACAAGCAAACAGGCAAATTATTGTCTACAAAAGCTAGGTTGGTTAGACATACCATACCTGGGTCAATGAGAACCTCCTGAGCCCCTACAGACAGAGAGAAAGAATGCAGATTCACTCAAGGACGCAAGGCGCAATGTTAGCAGTGTTAGTCCCGACAATCTGTGCAATGGCTGCTGCTGCCGCTTTTCTTTAAAAAACACTGATCAGAAAATTGGATTACTTTGGTAGAAAGCTAGGCCATGTTGATTTTGTCAAAATCATTCATATCAAATTTATTTAAGCTTATGAAATGGAAATATTTGCTAGTTTTTTATCACCTCATACCATTATAAGTCAAAACTGAAATGCATCAACTAAATGATTAAAAATCAATAATGAAGAAATTAGATTTTTTTTTTTTCGTCACAACCCTAAATCACTGTCCTCAGGTGTCATCCAGACAATATAAAAGCAATTCATTATTATTTCTATTGAAGCTGACAGAAGACGACAGTCCACTGAGTTGCCATTCAAGATTTATTTTCACTTAGTGAAGTTAAACACAGTGCAGTGTTAATATAACACCTTGTTAATAGTATGTTAATCACAGACTAGGCCTATTAAACAAAGTTAATTAAATCAGCAGTCATCAGGATCATCAGGGTCAATAAGCATCAGCAGTTTAGGAAGCTGACGTCTTGAACTGTGCGCACAAAGCAAGCAGCTTGGCTCAGCGAAGGTTGATAGACAGTAGTGACATTCTCATTCAGTTACAAATCACTAACAGACAACAGCCCTTGGTAAATGGGTGGTGGAGCTGCCATGCAGGGTGCTGGCCTGGCTGCCAGGAGCATCTTGGGGTTCAGACAAGTGGACCGGAGGAGCCGGGGATCGAACTGTGATTAGTGGATGACCCGCTGCCATAGCAGCCCTTCATGCCATCCAGACCACTGTTTCTTTTTGCCTAGTTATAGAGTGATGTGCTCACCTGGTCTGTGGCGTTTTCCTGCATCTGCTGGCTGAGAGATACTTGGCTTACGTCCACCCGTCTTCCCTGCTGTGCCTCCAGGGTAGTGGAATATGACAGATGCTGAACACAAACCCTCCAACGCAGCTGTAAACAAAAACAGAGAAATAATATTTTATTTTCATTTTTCTTTCCTCGAGCTTACTCTGGCAAGAGCTTCTGAAGGTCCCTCTGTGAGCCCAATGTTTGCACTGCAGATTGTTTGCTGCAACCTTTCGTGATCTAAAAGTCCAAATTTTTTCTGCTTTTGCACTCACTATACTTGAATAAAGCACAAACTAAATATTTACTCTACACCTGAAAATGCAGACTCAAACCCAGTAAAATTCATAGGCTCAGAACGATACTGATATTACATCCTGACCGATGTATCGGCATTATGAGCCATTACTAACGTAAGTCAGATGCCGTCCCTGGTAGGCTAGTGGTTAGCGGGTTCGAATCAGGGTTGCGTCAGGAAGGGCATCCGGGGTAAAACACGTGCCAAATGTCAGCATGCGAGTCGTCAGTGTGACGATTCGCTGTGGCGACCCCTAAACGGGAAAAGCCGAAAGTGACTTTCTTTCACTAACGTAAGTCAGATAAACTGGCATCAGTCTATAGTTCAGCTAATAAGCAACAGGATGTACAACCTTTGCACAATACTCAAACAATAAAATGATGAGTTCTTTTGTGATGTGCTATGTTTATATTAAAAAGACAATCTCTCGAACATAGACAGTGGTATTGGTCACAGGAATCCAATACTGGTCAGACTGTAGATGATACAAATCAAGGAGACAGAAGCTAACAGACAACAACCCCATAAAACATATTCCAATATTAAACATCAGCAAAAAAGTCCCCTGGCCTTGTAGCAATAAGCTGCCATGTTTCAGACTTACCACCCAGCCAGAGGAAGTCATTAACCCCCCTGAGCAGCTCTACAGCCATGTGGTAGTGGACCAGGGAATCCTGCAGCATGCCCGCCTGGAGGCATAAGTCCCCAACATGCTTCCTCATCCGCCCTTGGCAGCGCTTTTTATAATGCCTGAGGAAAAGCAGCAGGAAGAGGGTCAAAAACCTTTTCGGACAACAACAAGATGAACAGAGGGGCTCAAATTCTTTAAATACTATGGCTTTTAAACTGATTTATGTTGATTTCCAGAGTGGACATGTCTTCCTTAAATAAACAGCTGCTGATATTTCTTATGTTAGCAGGGCACCAGGACTCAAGTAAATCTTATCGGTCAACTATAAATTGGATGCATGGGGTGAGAAAGCATAAGCAAGGGAGGGCAACAAGACAAGGACAGAGTAGGTACTGGAAGGGTCATGTGAAATAACAGCAGGTGATCACAGACCCAGGCTAAAAAAATATCCACTTCTGAGAAAATCTACATCATATGTGTCAGTTTAAAAATTCATGCTACTGCTCAGGACGATGCCTCACTCGGAACTGCAATAAATATAACTAAAACGAAAAGGCTGTTCTTAAGGGATTCATAAAATAAAATTACCACCAGAACTAAAAAGTTTTTTTTTTATTTATTTATTTATTTTTTTTTAGACACGGATGCCATAATCAAATTCATGTTGTTGAGTCGATGCACTGCTACGCCAAGCTGGAACGTAATGTATGCTCTCAGGAATATGAGATCCAGGCAGCAGTGTGTCGCTCCAGCTTCTACAGCCAAACAGACTAAATCCCTTTCCCAGCGTTGTCCTGAAGCAGGGACAATCCTCAACAGTGTGTACTGTGCCAGACCGTGTTCAGGGAGTCCAAACTATCAGCCCCTCCTTTAAAATGACCATACCCATGTTTTTGCATGTTGCTTTGCATTATATACTGTATACACATTTTACTTACTTTCAATCCCAAATACAGTGTTTAACAACTACAGTGAGAATTTTAGGTGCACAGCCACTGGATTAAGCAGACTGCATAATGTATAAAGGTTTAACTGCAAAGTGAGACATGCCTGAGACAAGTAATCCAGCTATTTGTCTATAATGATGAAACATCATTGTCCAAACTTTAAAGTCTTTCTTGAAAAAAGCTGCACATCACGCATGAAGTTTAGAACATAATGTAACATTTTACTTAACAAGAGTGTAACTGTGTGTGTGTAATAGTGCAAATTAGTCTTCATCTACAATGTTATATGACATAATATGGTGATATATATGCAATATACGTAATTTAAGCGTTTTAGTCACTACTTTTCTAACAATACTTATTATTCTTATCTAAACAGCTTTATATTTGTGGCCTGTTATAGCTCGTGTTTAAACTGAAACTGTGGAGGAGTGATGAGTTTGTTTTGGAGTAATGAGTAACTGCACAACAGCACAGAGGTCTGTCTGTTTCAGGGCAGACTGAAAGCTGATGGGATCGGTATGGGTTAACTAAACGTATGACTAACATCTCACCTTTTCACACCCAACAATAAACTCACAGGACAGTATGAAAGAAAAGGAAAAAGACAAATAAACCAAGATAAACAAAAATGAAGGCAGCAAAAATCAAAAGACAGATTTTTGAATCTTTGAGCAGGTGAGACAAACATCTGACACCGAAAATTATGCTGCATATCAAATTTACTGACATCGGACCTTGACCAGCCTCCACATGCTAATGTGCTTTTGAAAACGGAGTGAAGGTGCATAAATAACTCACCTGCTATCCGTGTCCAAACCCACAAAGTCCTTCTTCTCAAAGGGCACACAGAGCAGAGGGATCTTGTCACCTGATTTGTCTGTGGCCCGATCAAGACGCTTGGACTCCAGGACAATAAAAATCGACTCCACAAAGTCCTCCACTCTCTTCTCCACATCAGAGTGGGCTTCAAAGCTGGGGTAGAAGGCCACATCTGTGCGCTGCTGCTCTGCAATCTCCCCCTGTAGCCCAAACACTAGCAACCTCGAGTCATAGAGAGTAGAGCTGAACAGCTCCTTCTGGCCATGGAAGCGTTCCGCGGTCTGGGGCCAGTCCTTGGCCGACTCACAAGTGGTGATGGCGATGAGGCCCACCACCTTGCGGTGCGTCTGAAAGTCACCCCACTCATTGTTTTCAGGCAGGTAGTGGTGGCGGTAGCGGATGTAGAGGAGGCGCTGAGAGTCCCTGATGCTCACCTGGCTCACGCTGGCGATCTGTTTGTAAATCTTGAAGAACTGGTCCTCGGGTACAATGCCAACTGGCTGAACCACCACGAGCACCGTCTGGTGGTCCTCAGCACACTGCATGTAGTCTGGGACACTCATCTTCACATGTGCCTTCATGAAATAGAGAAGAAGAAAACAAAAAAGTTTAATAGAGCAAATCATATTCCCACTTTTTGTTTTATCAGTTAACACATAAAATCACCCATACCTATTATTTTCACAACTTAATATTTAACCCTTTCTACATTTATTAAGAAAAAAATTGTTGGGTAGGAGCAAAGAATGACGTTTTAGGGGGTAAATATCAAATGTATTTCATAACTAAAGTGATCTGCAAGGAGAAGTAGGTAAAACTTCCTAAATCAAAAATAGAAAGACTCTCAGCTGGATACAGAAAGTGTTTGCAAGCAGTGATAAGGTTTCCTTCCCCCCCTTTTTGTTTATGGTGTTTGAAATGTGGCCCATAAGGATGCTCTGTTAATTAAATCTTAGCAAAACATCTGCTGTGTTTGCGTACAACGTGACGTGTACTACAAACAGCCTCTAATGTTTGAATGTAAAAGTGCTGCATGAAGTCCCTGCTGTAGTTATACAACACGAAACAATGGAACCCACCGACTCCTAAATAGTCCAAAACCGGTGTTTCTAACAAAACGAATCATTACCTTTGCAAGTAAAGCAAAGCCACATCTGCTGCTGTCTTAGCACACCGAGGAAGGCAGCTGACAAGATCATTACAGCGGCAAAGTGTGTATGCAACAGAACAGAAGCCCTCACGTCATTACTTTATATATAAACACTTGCACACTAAGAAAATGAGCTTACTATAGGCTATAATGTCGTCTCATGATACTTGTGTCAGCTAGCTTAGCTTAGCCAGCTAACCTATGGACTTCCTACCTATGAACGTCACACATTAAGGTGCCGGCTGTAATTAACAGGTCACTAATGCCATATCGGTTTAATCAAACTAACTGTCTTTAATATATAATGTTTACTCGAGTTACCTGAGCAGTAACCTGTCAGATTCCACAGCTTCCTTAGAACCAGTCTTTTGCAACACACAACACCAGCACAACATCCGGTACCTGTTTCCAAAATAAAACCTTCACATGGCGGTTATACTGTATGTATCTGTTTTACCGTGACGTCATAACGCTATTTATTTGTTTGATTGCTTGTTGGCTCTTAAAGATAGTCTCCCAAGAGTACAAATTAAATTAAATTTTAATTCGTAGACAACAAGCCATATTTTTTTTTATCCAAAAGGTACTAATACATGAATGTGTGAAAACCGAAATCTTCGTAAATAAAATATTTTCATATTGCAAATATCGGTGAGAAATATTTCCTTCTGGCAAGTTACAGTAGGTTCTGTAAAATATGCACATCAGGCTAGAAAATTACAAAGATGTAATTCCAGCCAGTTCATATAAGATAATTGGTGGAAAGAATAACTGTAAGAATAATTCTCTGTAACAGCATATTTGTCCCAATAATCATTTTGCACAACCACAGTAATAATATGTTTTTCTGAACATGCAGTATATGTTTTTACCTTTTTTATTGAAATCAAATCCTTATTTCCTGCTACGTCTCTTTTCTTCGTCATCCTTTTTCTTTCTCTACATCTGCTCCTCCTACAGAGGAAATTAGGTACTGAAACTAAGACTATATAAATTGTGCATTTTAATGTACTTCAGGTTGTTCATGTTAGTTTCAAAATGCTCTTCGTACTTATTCAGTGTACTATGATTTCCCAATTACTAACAAATTATACTTTAAATGACTATCATGAAAATGACCTCATGAAAGTAGTTCAGTAGTTTCATTTAAGGTGTAGTAGTTCACATAAAGGTTCACTGAAAATACATAGCTCATGTACTATTGCTATGAAGGCACTGACCCTACAGCCTCCATGTGACACTATTGCCAATCACCATATTCCACTGACTTGTAAATTAGCCCTCTAGTGGGTGATTCCTCATTAAAACGGAGGCGATAAATAGAAAATGACCCATTTTAATGAAGTTTTTTCTTTTTACCACTGCATCACTTTAGTTCAACATTTTAGGTAAGGATTCCATGGATGAAAAAAAAGACAAGTAGATTCAACTCTGTTTTATTTCTGTAAAGCATAAATCACTTTTCACAATCTTCTTGGAAGACAACAGCATTTTGTTCCCAATTTTAACTTTTTTCCTTTTTTGGCCAAGGGGAATTGGTCCAAAAACAAAGCAGGAGCTCAGAAAGAGACATGGAATGTCTAGAACATGGTTCATAGTGAATATACATCAATAAGAGGCAAAAACTACAACCACTGACTTACAAAACAGTGCACAAACATCGTGTGTGAAGGCTGTCATTGCTAGGAATCCCAATCCATAACACGACGGTGAAATTTGGGGGCTGACAGATGTTACAAGTAAGAGGAAAACCATGTTGTTCTTAATTTTTGAAAACAAGACACAAGACCAATAACTGAACATTATATTTTGACTGAGATGTATGAAATGAATTAATGCAAATACATAAAAAGCACAAATATGTAAAGCCTTCATTTTTCCCATATAGTGAGTTTTCCCTAAGGCTAGTAAGACTGAGTGAGGTCAATCTAAACACACCAACTTTGACCTTCATTTGTTCAGAATGAGGCTGGGTTGCAGTGCATAGTCACATTACTATATCGTTATGCCCAGTACAATTAGTCAGAAAAAGTGTAAAATCAAATAAACAGAGGGAGGAAAAGCTACACGATTGAAAGCAGAATTCACATCTTTTCATTCTAATGATTTACACTATGAAATACTTTCTTCTACATGTCGGGCAACTTTTTACCCTGTCAGCCAACAACGGAGAGCACCCAGTGGTGGAATAAAGCTTTCAAGTTATACAGTAAAACAGTGGAAATCAGAGAAGGCAGGTAAATGCTAATACTACAATGAACAATCACCCTCAAGAGCGCATTACAGATATATATTGGCACCAAATGTGATGTTAAGAGCATCCTGCTCTACTGGATGCTAAAATTGATCAGCCAACAACCAAGCTATTTAACCACCAATTTTAAGAGTATACCAACACTGTAATAGATTTAGCTCATTGGAGTCCTTTATAACATAGGTTAGGACAGCAATTGGTTCCTAAATCCAACTTTTTTTTTTTTATGCAAACAGGGATGTAGCCATGATTTTTGGAATACTGAGGTCATGAATCCAACTCACAAAGGCAGACAGTTTGCCAAATTATCTATTTGGATTTTTCATATTATGTTTATTTTCTGTGGCACTTCCTTAATGTTAATACCTCGTAAAAATTTAAACATTTCTCCATGCTAAATAACATTTTAGCAGAGAAATCTCACATTTTTTGGCCTAAATAGTACAATTTATATAGTGGAATCAGCCTACAAAGTACCCACCATGTATAAGTTTAAGCTGTCGTATGTTAATTCCCCTGCAGATGTCTAAAATCCCTACATTCCCTAAAAGAATAAAGTGGGGTGAGACCTCAGAGCACTAAGTGGTAGCTACAGCCCAGCTCACCAATGATTACTTAAAGCCACAATGTGTATGATTTGAAAAGGTCTGCCATAGGCGTGTACATCGGTGATCATGGATACATTTTGCCTTCAATCTAGTCCACATACCAAAATGAATTAAAATATAGAAACTAGTGTGACCAGGGGAATGTTGCCAAAACATTCTTAGGAAGTAAGTGTGTGGTATGGCCTTATGTGCCATTTCTGATGCGACGGTGTATTTGGGTGAGAACCACTAATGTTCTAATGTGTCACAGACAAGTGCTAGTTTCTAGCTTCATTGAAATAATTTGCATTTTTAATATTTGTTCAGACATACATTTGAGTTCTGGTGCCATTATCGCCCCTCAAAACACTTCAAATCAGCACAGGACCTCAGTTGGCTACACTGGATTCCCATTTTGGACCCAAACCTCATCACATATGGCATAAGGTAACCAATGGAGCAAAATAACAAAAGGTTGATCACGGCATCTTTTAGCTGCTATAATTTATAATTGTTTAGGTCTAAGGACATCTCAGTCCATGCTACTTGTGAATTCATGTGAAATACAAAGAGTGTGCTGTCATGTACAACATGGGAACTTGAAGGCTACAAAAAACAACAAATTAGTAAAAACTGAGTGATGTTTGTGTGTTCAGGCTGCAGAGGATCAGGTTTAATGCTGTCATCCAGAGGATTAGTTTAATCTCCAGCAATCAAGTTTAGTTGGCCTAATTACTGCACATTAAGACACCCCATTGATTCCTAGTGGGGTAGGAGCACTGGGTAACACTAGTCTCTCAGACAGGAAAAAGGTTTGAAAGGAATCAGGAACAGAAACAAAAATATAACAGATGACTCATTAAGAGATGCTGGCTCAGTAGTAGGAATGTGTGTCTTCAGATGAGTTGAATAGAGATATTTGGCATTCTTCATTATGGCATTGAAAGAGAGTGGACACTACCAATGGTGCAGAGAGACTGGATATGGGACCTCCAATAGGGCACAGGGTGGGTGGGGGGATGGGATTAAGATGGACAATGATACTCCACCCTCAACATGCCAGTTTCAGAAACTGTTCTACTGTATCCGCTTCCACCGCCTCAGAAAACATTTCATAGTTCTGTGGAAACAGCAAACAAGAAAACAGACACTGTTAAAACTGCTTGTATGTCAGAGTGCTCAACAGGTGTAATTTCTTCACTGAAACCATCCTGTATGTAATATCATTTTCAAGTCAGTTTATAATACAGCTTATATTGAGATCAGATTTTTTTTTCATAGCTATTAGAGTATACGCTGTTCTGAATCATCACTGATGAGATAACAATGTTTCCATGTAGACTCCTGGTGCAGCCTTTTGCACCATTTGTTCCCCCAGATTAAGTTTAAAATAAAATAAAAATGGTATGTACTAATGTCAGAAGAACCATAGGTTTTCTAATTTTCTTTGCAATGTGAAAAACATCGATCCATGAAAGACTATATCCCTTTACAATGGCATGCACATTCACTTTTGTTATTTGTAAGTGTGAGAGTGACTGTATATTGTTTCACTTGAGACAAATTGTCACTGGCATCACCTGGATATGTCACAGAAACTTTAGGGTTTTGATTTTTGTTGATGATGTTATTATTTATGTCTATACATATGTGCTTACGGTTGTATTTGAGTGCTAAGTCTGTAAATCTAGCAGAAGTAAGAAAACTGTGGTACAGTGGTGACTACACAATATTTTTGTCCGATAAGATGTTCAATGTGTCAGACTGCACGATTCTAGAGTCATAGATTACTGTGTTAATCACAGCCTGACGGTATGATGTCGTCAGGTGGAGGTGCCACAGGCGCAATGTAAAATCAGAACGGTGTCTGAAGCGGTTGTCACTACATAACCTGTTTTATGCATGTGCAAAGAAGCAATTTACAGCAGTGTCATATCGCCTCACCCAATCTTGCCCTAAACCTAACCAGTCAGGAAGTAGCTGCATTTTGCACACGAGCAGAACAAATTAGGTTACTATTATGGATCATGTGACACCAGAGACATTTCTCTGTCCTCTATTGCTTTGCTTTTGTAGTTACCCAGTCCATACCAGAAACTCGATAATCATATAAAGTGACGTAGGAGAAGTAAACTATGATGCAGAAGGACTTTGATGAGTTTCTATGAATGTTTTGACATTTATTTCACTGTCACAATGCTTTTCACAGTCTCCTTTCAGGCCTATAGGGGCTGAGAGTCCGATATAGAGATAAATAGGTTAATGGCAGAATAGGTCATTCATTTTTAACATGAACATTGCTGATAATTTGGGTAAAGTGTGTGTGCGTTCCTCACCCCACAGTACTGGTCTTCGTTACAAAGCTGTGGAGGCACTGCCTTTGGGTCCCCTGCTTTGCTCCTCATTTCATCACGAAGCTCCCCACCCACAGAAATGTCAATGAGCTCGTACTGAATGGATTTACTGTCAAGGATTCGCATCACTTCTGCCTGTTGAGACTTCACCTGGAAAACAACAGCTTCCATCAGAGATGTACTCAAGCAGCACAACCACTAGGAAGCAGTTAAACCATTGTCCTCGGAGGATATGATCTGCATACAGTGACATGTGCCACCATAACTTTGCATCCTGCATTTACAGACTATATTTCTAAGAGCTAAGTGGAGTCAAACACTGACAGCTGTTATGTTGTTACAGTTTTAATCAGTCACAACAGACACAAGTTTGAGGCACAGTACCAATAAACTTTATTAGTTCATTTCTCCACAGGATCAAGGAAATAAGAAATGTTTCAATGCATTGTGGTGTAACAGAAAAAAATTAACTACCTTAATTAAGTACTTTTGAGGCCATGCCTTTAAAAAGCTTTATTTGGCCTGTGGGTGATGATTAATAGACCTAGTGACTGAGGAAGTTGGGAGGGAGTTTTCATAACAGTGACTCCACCCAACCACAGTAGTGGAAACACGTAGGACGGTATTTAGACAGCCACACACAACTGTTAGGTCAGTGTCACATCCTTAAACTGAAAAGAGGAATTGCTTTGCTCATTACACAAGTCATTAAAAGCTTCTCTGAATCAAGTAGTGTTTTGTGTTCTGCAGTTTAACTGAACACACTTTTTCCTGTTCCAGGTTAGAAAAAGATTCTGGGTGGTGCAGAGCCACTACATAACAACTCTTACTCTGTATTAAAGAACAATCAAACTTAAACACAAAAACCAAGTGGGTTTACACTTTAGTGGAATTTATTCGACACATGCCTTTGTTTCTTGGGTATACCGTCATTGTTAAACAGGAAGGATGCTCTTGCTATAGTCTAAATAAACAAAATATATGCCAATACATAATCAATATGCTAATAAACTGACATTTTTTAAACTTTCAAAGACATCCTCTCTTCTATATATAGGCCACTGTAGGAGTAAAAGTAAAAACAAACAACCAAAGCCTTCTACAGTAGCCCAGAAAAGAGTAGGTTACTGCACAGGAAAGTGTTAGGTTATTTCTTAGTTAGATAGATATGGATTAGAGATCTGTTGTATTAGAAGATGTTTAGCGCAGACAGGGTGACTAGCTTGGGCTGTTAACTATTCAGCCTGTAGGCACGTCAAGGTTACAGGAAAACTGCTGTTAGTGTCAACTGTAATGCTAGTCTTAATATTTGTCTTAATGTGTAAGGTTATGTCCAATTGTTTAGATACACACCACGAAAACAACAGTCACGCACCTTGACTTTTCCTCATGTTTTGGCTAAACGTTATGGCAGCTGCAAGGCTTGCTTATCAGGTGACGTCACGGTTCGACAGCCCAGAAAGGATTAATATTGTATAGCAATGCTTGGTTCGGGGTCTTGCTGCTTCCGGGCTGCTTGGGCAGCCTACAAAACTTTTCCACTACACGAACTCCTCACACCTGACACCAGGTTTGCCCAGGGCACTGCCATAGACTGTTTTATACAGGGCTGTGTCTACTGACGTATCTTGCTTATCAGCATTCACATGCTTTTTCTAAATTCCAGCACTATTGGGTATTTAAACGTACGTTCCACCAGACGAGCTGCCTAATAAAAGGTTTTGTACTTTATTACTGGCTCCCATAGTCACTTAACCCCTGAGCCACTTACAAATCATGAAATTTCTTTGAAACAAGTGTTGTTTCGTGTATTTGATGCAAGCAGAACCGATAAATACACTTGTTTGTTAAGGGCCTTTACGCCACAATTATAGCCCATCTACCTTAAGCAACACAACCTTAACGTGCGAGATTTTTGCGTCAAGTTAGCGGCAACCGTTATGGTGGCTGGACACCATATGTACCAGTATGATACGCTGCCACAATACTGTCCATTTCTAGTGTAAGTAAAAGGCCCCAACGTCCATATTTGTGGGGCAAATATCTTCAAAAAAATAGCTAGCTAAACATGCTGGAGAAAAAGGAAATGAGCAGGACTAAGCTAATGCATTCTGGGCCGTCTTTGCACTGCCTTACATTTTCCAGAGATACTTTTAATCTTCCTCAGCGCCTACCACCTAGTAACGCTGACATTAAAATAAAAATATAAATGGGCAATGAGCTGCACAGGCCCGTTTACGGTGTTAATCAGAAGGAATCTGTTATTACTGATAGGATGCTGGGTGTGTCTGATGAACTGAGCACAGGAAGCTGCTGCCGCCAAAAGCACGACAGAAAAACGTAACGTTAAACTTATTAAAGTGAAGCCATTGACTCACCGTCCGTGAGGCAGTAACGGTGGTGTAATACAGTTTGACTCCCATTGGTGCAGGTCCTTCCACTCCCTTTGTGTATCTGCTTGGCAGTAGCTTTGTCAAGCTCGGTAATAACTGGATAAAAAGGGAAGGAAGTTTGGTGTCCGTACTTTCAAAATAAATACCGCGTTTTCACTTCCTGGGGAAAGGGCAGCTCATAACGTCAGCTCTGAACGTCACAAACAATGTCTAAGTTACTGATATGGCTGCATACGTTTTTGACAACGTAGAGGAAACAATAAACATGGACTTTGTGAAAGGTATGGCTGTGTATAAAACAGACTGCGTGGAGGCTAATCTGTCCTTAAATCATCGTTGGACTAACCTGCTTAATAGCCCTGGGACAAAAATGAGCTGATCGGCTTCTATTAAAAGATACCTTTACATGTTTTCATAGCTGTATAGTGTATACACTGATAGCTATGCAGTTATATACCTATACCGTACATATATAGAAAGAGTTATTGGTAAAGGCCTATGTAATTTTTACTGGTCACAGGAATTGTTCCTAGTCCATAGTGACTATAGAGATCCATTCCCATGGGGCACTAAGTCTTTGTTCTAGTTAAAAACACATTATGTATTATAACTTCTGTTCTCAGATCTTCTTTCTTTCTCACATACATTTTATTTTCTCATTACATTCCACCTAAGACCCCCCTTCACTTCCTAATTTGCAGATTCCGTGACGCACTTGCACACATGCACAGTGGTCCCAACATACCTCTCTGTGGCAGAAGCACTGTTTGGGTCTCTATGTGATTCCTTGAACACAGCTACTGTATCTGTTAACATGTAGGGTTGAGTCCGTACACACTGAGAGCCACTTACCGGAGTCAAATTCTTTGTGTATTCATCACACCTGGCCAATAAAGCTGATTCTTATTCTGAAAATATTTAATGAATGATTTATTCCAGTTCTGGGAAAGATGAACATCTCTATTTAAATCAGATTTATTATTGATCAATTCTTAACACCAAGACACTTCTGTTGCTTTGTTGACAGTAAATAAGGAACTGTAAGTTCTCACAAAGTAAATGTTGCTTGTAAGCACAAACATTTCAGATCAAATCAAAGTGTTTATTGGCATGAGCACAGTAAGGAAACATGTTTCCCTGTACAATGAAATTCTTTGCTGTCCACAATGAATGCCAAAACACAAAGTGAAATATAAAGTAGACAAATAAACAGCATGTGAAGAAATATAATAAGAATATAATAAAGAGAGTGTATGCTACATTGAGGCTGTATGTGCAAAGCCAGCTAGTATCCACCTGTCCTTTACCTGTCACAGTGAACATATCACTGGACATTTTACTTCAACAAATGTCTGCTTTCCAAATAGCCCCAATTATGGGATGTTTATAAACTCATGTCATGGAAATTCATGTCTGCAAATCTGCCTATCCAACTGGCTGGTTTATCAACGACTGTACGCACCTGTATAAGCCAGGATGTGTAGAACACATCTAAGGCTGTCATGGTGAAGGAATTTCTCCTGTGGTAATTCAGGCCTTCATTACTTGTATATTATTGCTGATTACTTAATCCAAAAGCCAAGGGTATTTTGCATGGCCGCTGTGTAGATAACAGTCAGTGCTCCACTACAGCTAGGCTTATTTTGACAACAGTGATGACTACTACCTACAGGACATTTCTATGCATGGGATCTCACCTTTAGCATGCTGTCTGCCAACGAACCCCTGTGGAGAATAGATCCACTGGGTCACAGGACCTTCATTCTTACTCTAAAATGTAGTATTCCAGGTCAGCAGCCACATCACTTGATAGTGCCTCACACAGTGAGCCTTGCAATGTTTGTGGCCAAAAGTATAACAGTGAAGGGGCAGTCTTCCACCCCTGACACTAAAGGTCTGAAGATATAACTAAATATTTCCCAAAATAGCTTGGATGCTCCAAGTCTGTCTCTCAGTTGTCTTAGTATTATCTTAATTATTTGTTTACAGTCTCTCACTGACTTTGTTTCATTCTAAGGTGTGTGCAACACTGTACAGAGTTCTAGTGAACCACTTTGTGGTGTGTTGTTGGAACAACCGGCTGTTTTTAGATATGGTGAAGGGGCGATCGTGGTCGTCTCCCAACCGGAGGGTTGGAGGTTCGAATCACAGTGCCTGCAGGCCACATGTGGAAGTGTCTTTGGGCAAGACACTGAACCCCCCCATTGCCCCCGATGGTTAGAGCCATCGGTGTGAGTTGGTGCCGCAGATGGCTGCCTCCGTTCTGTACCGGAAACAAATTCCTTGTGTGTGTAACATACTTGGCCAAATAAAGGTGATTATAATATGGCCAAGGCCAAGGTTGTGGACTTTAGGAGGACCAGAACTAGGTAAACACAGCCCCGGGCTACAAGATGGAGGTGCTGGAGAGCTACATACTGTAAACCTTGGAGTACACCTCAACAACAGACTGGACTGGAAATGTAACACAGAGGCAGTTTACAGCAAGGGACTTATAGCAGACTTGCCTTGAGGAAGGAGCACTTTCAGTTAGAGACTCCAGGAACACTACAGGAAGTTTTTCTTGCCACCTGCCATCACCTTGTACAACAATTTTCCTCTGTGTCAGGAGCAGAATCTCCTCTGGCAGCATATACTGTATATTCTTCATATGCTCACTGTACATTTAATATTGTTAATATGTTAATAATCTTGTTAATACGTAAGTAAGTTATAAGTAAACATGCTAACACACTCGCAGTGACAACATTAACATGCTAAGCAAGTATGTTCACCATCTCAGTGTAGTATGCTAACATTTGCTTTGTCTTTAAGCACAAAGTATAACAGATATTTAGTCATAAATCAAATATCCAACCAATTAATAAAATTTTGACATGATGGTGGCTGTAATTGATAAGTTAAAGTAATATAATTTTGACATGATGGCGGCTGTAATTGATAAGTTAAAGTAATATATTGTGAGTGGAGCATGAATGTCTATACCAGTCTGCATGGAAATCCATCTAATAGCTGCTAAGAAATTCTTGTGGCAAATCATCCAGTAGACGTTTCTCTGAATAAGGGATCACTAAAGTTATTAGGATTCATCTTTTAGGTATCAGATATCTTGACTAAATTTCATGGCCAACCGGCTAATAGGAATTATGTACACAAGGCATGTTAAATGTCAACCTCATGGTGGTGCTAGAGCACAAATCAGGGAGTCACCAGAGTCAGTAAGCCTTATGCTCTTGGGGTAATGAATGTCTGAACAAAATTTCATTGCAATCCATCTAGTAGTTGTTTCATATTGGTGTACAGACATACTGGCAGTTTGGCAGAAACCTGAATATGACACATGGCTGCTAAAAGGATTGAGTCTGGGACTGTCCAGTTCTGGTTCACTCAGTCTAACCACTAGACAACCAGCAAATTGAAATTATCCAAATTCCCCTAACGATAATAACCTATGACAATTTTGTTTTAGAGGGTATCATACTCACACACTGACAACCCAGCTGTGTAATGTTCTTGCTGTAATGCTCTGAGTATATTGAACCCCATTAAGAGTAATGACCAGTGATAAAATTTAATTTGGACCTTATCACAAGGGAAGTAGGCTGGCCTGTTCTATTGTGAGTCAGACAAAAGGAATGTGGGAAAGAATCCAGCACTGCCATCATTCAGCTGATTCAGGGTTTTAAGTGAATGACTAAGCCAGGCAGTGTGTGGGCCAGCACCCAGTAAGGCTATCAGTAATCCTGAAAGTTTAGGTAAACATTGTCATCTCTGAGGTTTGCATCAGAGGAAATAGAAAACTGCTCACCATGATAAAATAAAGGCCTTTTGGCTAATGTGTTTACCTTAAATAAATATGCCTTTATTGACGTTTGGGGGCAGCAGAAAGGCATTTGTCACTTGGTCTAGATCCAGCTAATTCTGATAAAGGAGGCTTTTCAAAGATGTTTTACTTTTAAAGAATGGTTGAATGAATTTAGTCACAGAATAGAAAAGGACAAGGTGAAATGATCAGTAATGGAATAGTGCTGCCATATTCATTGGATTGGCGAATGGGCCTACAGGACACACGACAAAAATGTTAAGATTATTTATGGCCTGCAATAAATGTTTCACTCCCATTTAAATTTCACGGTGGTGCAGTGGTTAGCTCTGTTGCCTCACACGCGAGAAGGTTCCAAGTTCGGGCCCCACCCGGGACCTTTCTGTGTGGAGTTTGCATGTTCTCCCCGTGCTTGCGTGGGTTCTCTCCGGGTACTCCAGCTTCCTCCCACAGTCCAAAGACATGCAGCTTAGGTTGATTGGTGTCTCTAAATTGCCCATAGGAGTGTGTGTGTGTGATTGTTCGTCTATGTGTTAGCCCTGTGATGGATTGGCGACCTGTCCAGGGTGTACCCCGCCTTCGCCTGATTGCCGGCCGGGATTGGATTCCAAATATATACAGTAGACAAAACAATGTACACACATATAAAATAAAATATATTTAAAAAAAGCAAAGACTTTCCTTACATATTAAATCCCTCATGAAACATTTAGGCTTTCTTAAATACAGTCTAAAGATGGTATATTAACAGATCTCTAAAAGTGCTACAGTATGATATCAAATTAGTGGCAACAAAACAGCACAAAAAAGGATTAATTCTCACAATGGCAATTCAAAACATCTCATCATGTGCTTTCAAAGATCGCAAACCTATGTGTATAAACCCATCCAAAAGAGCCACTTAAATCCTACAGCTTCAGTGTCTGAAAAGTCTAAACACTGCAATTATCTGATGGCTTTCAGAACGCTAGAAATCATTTTATCATAGCAAAACTCAGCCAGCACCAACTTTATGCTAAATTTAAATGTGCAAACAATGGGCTCTCAAGGCACAATGACAAAAGCCCTGTATGGTCCTGCATTGTTATTACACTGTATTTTTGTTTGTTACTACAGTATACCATGACATCTGAACTTCAACAATGTATCCAATAAGGAGAACTGTAGATCACATGATCACCAAAAAAATACTAAGCAAACCTACATATCACAAATTCATTATAAGAAACAGGACAAATTAAATTTCTCATTCAGACCAGAGGACATTAAAGTGCCCAAGTTATGACTCCAGAAATATTCATTTCGTAATACCTTTATTTCTCATGTCCAGAAACAGGAACAACCTCATCGCTATTTGTGTTTAAAGAATCTGTGTATCATTCATTTGTTTTTCAAAATAAAATTTTGAAAAAATCAAAAATGAGCAAAATGAGTCTTTTAGAGTATTCATTTGTAAAACCAGAATGAAAAAATGAAATAAAAATGAAATTAATTTTCAATAATACATTCAATATTACAATAGTTATAATAATATAAATGGTCTCAATAATAGATTCATGCCCATCTTTCACAAAAAAGTGAGAGACAACGTCACTCCTTGTGTCTTACGTTTTCCATGAAGCAAACCCTTTCCCTCAAAAAACTGACAAAACATATAGTTTTCCTGGACTGGACCAGATTATTTGTGATTCCGTATCACTAGAAGAGTCTATGAGGATTTGGGAAATACCTTCAGAAATTGGGTAAGTGTTATGAAACAACAGCACAGGATTAAAATGTTCAGCAAGTTTGATTTCGAACACTCACGGAAGATAATTTCTGTGACTCAAGTGTATGTAATATGTGAGAGCCACAAGCTGGGGCTAACTGGGATACAAACTAAGCACATCCATTGTAATAAATCATCAGGTCCAACATGACAGTGTATTATGTCCAAACCCAACCCAAGCCCAACACAGTTAGGTTTGTACAGTGTTTTTTTTTTTTTACCCTTATCATTAAACAAAGCAGACATTTGAGTGCTCCAGCCTAAAGTTTGACCTACGTATATGTCCAAACCTGACCAGGACCCGAACATAACTACTAAAGTTCTGCCCGAATCCTCAGGTACCAATGGGTCCCGTCAGGCTCTGTTTGGGTATCCACACTCTAGTGCCACAACAGCCACCAGCTTTTGTTAATGCAGCATTATTAAATCATCAAACAAAGCTATTGTTATAGCAGGCGTCGGTGGACCCAATATATTCAGACACACACTGGGAGTGGAACACAAAAGGAGTTTTGTTTGTTTTGCACAAACCCAGTACATTCCCCCTTCTTGTTATATTACATGTAAATCTGCTGCTGTTGGTCATTTGCTCTACTGTCCATGTGCATCTCAATCTCACAACCATCTGACAATCTTCTTGTTATTATTTTCACTGTCACTGATTGTATATGGCTTCAGTCATAGACTAGTCGGTTGTATCATTTAGCTTTACCCTAATCACTTTGTTTTAGTTTTCTTAGTCTTTTTTTATTCTATTTTTCTTTTATTCTATTTTAGTTTCCTAAATGGTATGGCATTCAATACTAGGTGAAATGGTATTTTGATTTTCTGTATGTCCTGCACATATAGTGAATTGACAATAAAAATCTTTGATCTTGAGTTTATTGTTAACACAGGAGGTCAGGTTATTGGGAGAAAAAAGGGGACAGAGGCAGAGCTGGGGACAAAGGCAGGTAGGCAGCGTGGAGCTGACAGGAGGCGAGTGGATGACCTGGGAGTGTAGAGCCGGGGAACGGAGAACTGGAGAGTGCAGCACTGGGAAACAGAGCTGGAGCATTGGGTAGCAGGTTGGGGAACAGGTGAGTATCGACAATGAACCAGCAGGGAGCAAAGAGGAAAAGGGCTGTATATGTAGCGGCAGGTGGATGAAATGATGGCTGATTGTGCTGGCTGAGGATGTGACAGGAGAGGCAGGGGATGAACAGAAAACCAGGAAGCGAGGTCCACAAACCATAACAGCTGTCTAAATTGGACTGGTTATACAGTGTGTTCACATACAAATAAGAAGCAGTAGTTAGTATCTGCCCTGTGATGTGTCTGTAGCTCTGAGTGTTGTCCAGCGGCCAGCTATTCTTTTATTCATATAAATTATTTAGGCTAACAACATAATATTTTGGATCAAGAAGTTGCTGAAAAATACAGTGTGCAAGATTAATGTCAACTTCAATATGCCAGATATATAATAATACTAACTGTAGGTAAATATAAATATCAAATAGGAATTAGTATTGGCAGATACTTCAGATACAAGGTATAAAGACCAAAAACACTGGATCAGGACACCCCTACGTGTAGATCCTACAACATCCAATCGATTATTTGGACTTGGCTTTCAAGTTAAGCACTTGCATAACTTTCCTCAGCATGAAGGCAACAATCAGTGCACATACAACCAAAGTGACCACATACAGTCCTACAAAGAAAGGTGCCTCACCGCTCTGGTGCAGACGTGAGTACAGCTTCCTGCGGCCCATGTAGTCAAGGTAGGATGCATGAATCTGACACCAGGTGCAGCAAGCTAGGAAAATATGGAATATCTGATGACTCTGTCCCACAAAATCACATCGTCCAGGGAAGCAGCGCTCTGGCATGTGGAAGGTGAAGAAACTGGCACAGCTGAGAAAGAAAGCCACCTGGCCAAAGTGGTAGCTAATAGCTGGGTCATTGCTGGCTGGAGACCAGAGTAAGAGTCTCTTAGCCACAGGACTGTTGTCCCAGATATAGGCAAGCACTGAAGGCACCACCTGGCACACCTTGCGCACCCAGGCTGGTGGGGTTTGGTTGCAGTATTTGCCATAACAGCATCCTATGCATGACAGACAGCTGAGGAAGGTGGCAACAGGCATGAAGATCCCACGTATGTATCCGTACAAGCTTTCATCCACAGCATAGTAAAAGTGAACTACAGCACTGCCATACTGATACAGTGCTACCCCAACATAGTCCAGAAAAAAGAAGGTGTAGTGGCACAACTCAGATTTGCCTCCTAGTAGGTGAGCTGCTACACTGAATGCTGAGTAGGTCAAGGAGGACAGAACAAGAATCAACAGGGGCCATGAATGAGAATCATTAGCAAAGTCCACAGTCTCCGAGAGCCGGCTTAATTTAACCAGGAAAACTAAAAATGCCAGCAGGTGAGTCCAGATGTTGATGGTCTCATTGTGGCGCTGGAACAAAGACAAGAGATAGTAGCGCCAGCTTTGGTTGAGCGGTCGGTAGCCAGTGCACACGTAGCACTCTCTGAAGCAGTAGGGAACCTCAGTGTCTCTTAGGGTGCTGGGCACAGAGGGTGCAGCCTCAGTCAGCATCTGGGGAACCTGCTTGATCTGCTGCAGGCTGATGAACATTCGCCCAATTCTCTCCATCACAATGGTTGCCATGACTGTCAGCAGCTGACTGATGCACTGTGGTTGGCCCCTGCAGATATTTCAAGGTTAAAATCAACAAAAATATTTTTGGTGTGTTTTTAGATCCTTATGTGTGTGTGTGTGTGTGTGTGTATATAAATAAAAAATCTATCAATAATCAGATGTGTCTCCTTCTGCATGTATGTGGGCACGTGTGTGTGTGTGATACGTGCACCAGAAAACTAGTGGTGGGCTGCTAAGTCACTGTGAAACCTCTAGGCTTTCTTCCTATTTGTGACAAAAAACAATTATCAAAGCACATATAGTGATATCAGGTGACTTGTTCAACTTTCAGCACCCCTTAAAGATGGATGGAGCACTACTGGCCCCTCATTGGTTTTAATGGGTTTAGTATCAAGCAATAAAGGTCTAAGAAGCCTGTGGGTTACTATTAAATCTATAACATGTTTGTTCAGAAGTGCTTCATTAAAAGTAGATGTTAATGTGCAATAAATGGCAGTGAACTAATAAATAAATATTTTGTACAAAAACCCTCTAAATAGTAATTAAATTGTAATATACTTTGTTAGTGTGACTGTGGACTCATGTTTAACTTCATGGTTGATATTTACGTAACATTTCATGAGTCACATTATGATCTGAGAATTACATTCACAGCAGTTTTACTTGGCACCAGGTGAAAATATTCTCATACATCACTGTATTTCTCAGTGATTCTCTCTTCTTATTCTACTAATGGCCCTAGTTTAGCTGCAACACTTTCAAAGATCTAACTGAGTGAAGAACCCTCGGAAGCATCCCAGATGTTATGTTAATATGGTAGTATGCATACATTCACGGACGGATTTTGAGAGAACGGGACCCTCGGCACAGACACGTAAGACCCTACCACTCCTGCACTTACAGGAGCAGGCCTCACAGATTGATAATCACTTTATTTGGCCACGTATGTTACACACACAAGGAATTTATTTCCAGTGCAGAACTGAGGCAGCCATCGGTGGCTGCAGCTTGGTGTTCATTGTCTTGCCCAAGGACACTTCGACATGTGGACTGAAGGCACCATGATTCCAACCTCCAACCTTCCAGTTGAGAGATGTCCACTCTACTCCCTGAAGCACAATCTACTTCTATTTTTTGCATGTTTGTAGTCATATTGCACCCATTTTCACTTGTGTTGTATCTATTTTGTTTTGCAACAGACACTCTCTTTGTACTTGTTTGATGTCACTTTTTGTCATTCTGCATATATTTTTAGTAATTTTGCTGTGTTCAGGGTCTTCTCTGTCTCTTTTTAGCCCACCTGTTATGTTCATTTTTCAGGAACAGCAGTGATGTTCCTGGATTAATTTTACCATTACTAACCATTTCAATCACTATTTAGTGCAGTGGTGTTCTTCACCTCTCACAGATTATGGTTCAATGAGGTTAATGCACTCATTTTTTCATAAAAAATGCATGTTAAAACTTTTTTTAATGTACATTGGAAAGACCTACATATAAAATACATTATTTTTACATGACAGATTTTTTTTAAAAATGTTATTTTACATTTTGAAATCTTTTCTTGTTATGACGTGATGTTGATAAATGAACGAGACACCTCTTCTGTTCAGTACCAGTATCTTTGTAATATAAACATGCAGGGGGAGGTTGCAATATGTGAAATGAACCATTTTCATTTTATATGTTGAATATGCCTGTTAAGCTAAGCAGAATAAGTTTCATATCAATAAAATACTTTTAACTATTGTTTTTAGATGTTTTAACTTTACAATACATAACAGGAGGGTTAGTCATTTTGTCTCCTTATAGTGGTCTTGTAACTTTTTGTAGTTGTTTTGCAACTTTTATCTAATTTTGTGCCTTTTTGCACTTGTTTTGTTGTCATTTCAGTGGTTTTCCTATGGAAAGCTTAACAGTTACTTCATGGTTCTCTGGTCTTAGCACCCCCTGACCTCCTGGGCCCCAGGACATGTGCCTGGTAGGCCCATTCAGTATATGCCATGCATCAGATGCAAGGATACCCATACTCTTTCTAGTTACCCTTTAAAAACAATTGTATTTTTCTGTACATGCCCCTGATGAGATATATGTTGATAAATGTGTGAGATGAAAGTGATGCCATCCTTCTACCTGGCCTTGTGACCTCATATCAATGGAGTCCAACCTGCCCATGAATTACCATACTCCTAAGTGGAGTGTGCTACAAGAATAGTAGTGGTGCTGTAGAAAGGAAGAAATAATGTTGAGCAGCTAGTGTTTCAGCACCCATACTGGTCACAATCTCTACATGTCTGTTTCCCCCAAAATTAGCTTCTGCCTCTGGTTGAAATGAACAGGTCTCTTGTTTCACTGTCTGGGAGTTCACCACCCTGGGGAGGAATGAAGCATTTAGCCACAGCTGACCACACTTCACTTACAGGCAAAGCGTGTAATTCATTAACTTTCTTGGCTGAGCAAGATGTCAGGAGGAATCTCTTTTTATCACAGAGGAACTCTGGGTCTGCATGCTCAATAACTGCTCAGTAACAAGAAGCTTATGAGGGGGTTTGAGTCAGTAATCTTAACACCAAGGGGAGATTACATGATGGAATCCCCTCCCACCCCGGACGGGGGTGGGAGGGGACCTTATGAAGCAAGAAATAACAACTGCACACACCCTAACAGTGCTAGATGCTCTTCCTGAGTCCAAGAGGTGCTGAAGGAAGTC